CCCAGAGGCAGGCCATTTGTCTGTGCAAGTCCCATGCGAGTCTTCATCAAAACTTAAAACCACGCTATCTGTGGAGTGTTGGTTCACAGGCCAGATGTGTGAAAGTTTGCTCCTTTCAGAGTTCTTATGGGAGAATGAACCAGAGTTCTAGCTCGATGGCATGAGAACAAGTTGCTCATGTTACTCTTAGTTTAAGGATGCTCTGCCAGAGACAGAAGGAGTCCTTGGTGGTACTGCCCTCCCTCCTGTAAACTGCAGGAGGCCAGCAGCCTCTTCTTCCCAGGGATTGTGCACACATTACTCGGCCGATGTTCAAGTGCTTCTGAATGGATGTCTGTCAGACCATTACTCTGTGACTCATGGAGGATGAAATCCAGAGCGTCACATCCTCCTCAAGAGACCGTCTGGAGCACAGGATTAAAATGCTATGGCAAGGTGCTAACCATATATAGCCCACCATGTGGACGGGTCAGTCCCAAGCTCTCATGCTGAAGGAGGAGCCAGCCAGCATGCACCTGAAGGTCACTAGCTCACCTGGTGTGAAAGTCATCTAACTTAGACAAGATGACTGACACCCAAAGAACTGGTTCTGCATCTTGAAAGATATGAACCCACACTGGAACCAAGGAGCCATCACTAACAAGTTTAAACAGTGAATCTGTTACAGACTAGTTGGTTTAGTTACAAAGGTAAATTTGAAATGAAGTTCTGATATTCTTAAAATGAAGTCTCAGAAAGGCTATGGATTTATTGGTATAAAAAAGTTTTGGGGGGGGGTACCTGGGTGGCTCAGTCGGTTAAGAGTCTGCCTTTAGCTCGGGTCATGATCTCGGGGTCCTGGGATCAAGACCAGCCTTAGCTCCCCGCTCAGTGGGGAGTCTGCTTCTCCCTCCCCCTCGGCCCCTCCCCCTGCTTGTGCGCTCGCTCGCATGAATAAATAAAATCTTAAAAAAAAAACCCAAACTTTTTGCATCCTACAATTTACTTCCTTCTCTAATATTTAAAAACAAAGCAAATAACTTGGGTTTTCATTTAAGTACATTATAATCTAGCAGTAGTTACCCAAAATCTTTCCATCTCAATTTGACAAGTAAGCTATCTCAAGGCCTATCTCTCACCAGTTAAAGGAATTTTCATATTCTTTCTACTACCTCCTTCAGCAATTACAATGATTCCTTTTTATACTTTGGAATGGTTTGTTGCCTCGATCCCTTAAACTCTGGTAGGTGGGCCTATGACCCCATCAGCACCAAGTTTTGCTCTGAGCCCATCTATGTCCAACCTGGTGCAGGGGCAGAGGAGGAGGGGAGGCAGAAGCTCACCAGAAAGCCACTTTTGCTGCTAGCCCAGGCTCTGACAGCTCCATGCTCCCAGCCCCGGGCCTCACTCCCACCCCATCCTTGACGGTGTCTGATCCCACACCCAACCTGTGCGGGAAGCTCAGACTCTATTCTTCTATTACCTGTTCCTTTTCTTCCTTCCATTCCATCACCACCTGCAGACTCATTTGCCTGAGATACCCATTTTCAGAAGAGGCTGCTCCTGGGTCCAAAGGTCTAGCCACTGGCTCTTCAAATTAATCGAGACAGGGGCACCTGGGTGGCTCAGTTGGTGCAGCATCTGCCTTTGGCTCACGTCATGATCCTGGGGATCCTGGGATCGAGCCCTGCATCGGGCTGCAGGGAGCCTGCTTCTCCCTCTCTCTCCCACACCCCCTGCTTGTGCTCTCTCTCTCTCTCTGTCAGATAAATAAAATCTTAAAAAAAATTAATATAGACAGACCCAAACCTTCCTTATTATCCTTATTTTCATCCGCCCCCTGCCCCTGAAAAGCCCTAGCTATAATATATAACTTTCAACTACTGTAATGAAAGCAGCAGAACAGAGCTCTTGATATTCCACTAGCTGTATGATACAATTTTGCTTCTTTGGATTCAGCTGTTTTCTTGTATATAAAACATGATCGTTAAAACAGGAGGCCTTTTCAGAAGAAGAAAACTAACATTCACTTAGTATGGGCCAAGTGGACACTCTGCAAGTATCTATGCAGTCCTCTCAACATCCACGAGGGATGACAGAAACTGTCACTCCTGTTTTCCAGGAAGCTGAAGGTCAGGAAAGTCAGGGGAACTTGCCCAAAGCTGCCTGGTCTAAGCAGAGTAGCCAGGCCCAGCCTCTACCACATCCACCGCCTTCCTGGTCCCTTCCAGCGCCATCACGCTCTCTTCTGTCCCTTAGTTGCAACGACCACGGCCTGGACCCTCAGGGGTCCCGACGGGTTTCTAGGCACTGTGGTGAAGGTCATCCTCACCAGGGGACATGGGGATCTCAGGCAACAGGCAGAGGCAAGCTGAAACCTGGAAACGTGCACGTCACTTGTGAAAGTGATTAAAGGCCACACGGACACAGAAAAACTCGCTTCGCTCCACAGCTCAGAGTTCAGGCAGCCCTTCGGGGCCCACTGCCACAGGCATAGCCCTCTAAACTAGGTCCAGATCAAACCATGCTTGGAAGTTAAGAAAGGCTTGTTGGATTCTGTTCCAAACTCCGGTTTCTCTGTCCCGTTCCGCAGCCTATGTCCCCATTGCCTTTCCTACACGGGGCTACAGCTAGAGTGCTAACATAACTTCTTCTTTTTTTTTTTTTTTTAATTTTCTTTATTCATTTGAGAGAGCGAGAGAAAGGGGGAGAGAGACAGAGCACAAGTAGGGGGATAGGGCAGAGGGAGAGGGAGAAGCAGGGAGCCCGATGCGGGGCTCGATCCCAGGACCCTGGGGTCATGACCTGCGCCTAAAGCAGACGCTTAAACAAACTGAGCCACCCAGGAGCCCCTTTGACCCTGACTTTAAAAAAGGAAATGTCAGAAGCTGTAACTTATCAAGAACTTCTCTGCTGCTACTTTACGAAGGTGTAGCTTGGAATCAGCTGCTGTGGGTAGTAATGAGATGCAGCAAAACCAAAAAGTGCAGATTCCTCTCGTTTTAATAACCAGGTAAGGTTTATGGGAACAGGAAGGCAAAAATCTGGATGTGAAATGGGGGCAGAGGGTAAGGGATCAGGGTGTGGACTGGCAAATGGCACTTACTTGTTTTCAAAGTAGGAACAAAACAACATTTTATTCTGGCAATCAGTTCCTCGGACCGTGCCAGATAGGCAGGCTCTTCATGAATACGTAATGAAATGAAATCAGTGCTTCTTTCTGCCATAGCAGTCCGTATGACCATGCTAGCTATATAAAAGCCCCTATAATTACCGAGCATCAGAACTCAAAGCTTGTCTTAAATTCAATATTTTAAGTTCTTTTTTAGAAATGCAAAGCAAATTTTGTAACTATTCCTAAGACCTAGAAGTTCTGAAAATCAGAGCTAAATCCATTTCTATAAGCGAGGAGAAGAATCAGGGGGCCTCTCTGCGAGGTAGTGGAATTGGAGATTTTAATTTTCTTTCTGCTTATCGATAATTTTTAAATTCTTCTACGGAAGACATGCATGCTTATTTTCCCAAGTCTCACAATGACTTTATGCTTAGCTGGAGCTTAAAAAGCACACTGTAAGCGCCTCCACAATTTCTCATACAATACGAATTAGGCATTTACAGTTACTGCTAAATTATAAATATCTTAAATCTGCACTTGCCAAGTACTCTTTCCATAGCAATGGTAATGCTACTATGAGACACCAGGTCCTCCTCCAGAAAAAAGGAATGTCAAAAACCTCACACACATCTATTAGGAAAATTGAATTCTACTCCCTCATGGTTTGCGATTAGCTGAGGTAAAATATTAAGTCATGTTTACCTTCTAAATAAGGTATAGAACCAACTTTCCTTGGCAATAATTCAGTCATTCTATTTTTACATTTTGGCATGAATTAGACTGACATATCTTCTATATATTTTAAAAGTTTCAAATTAATGAATCCAACCAACTGTCTAAAGGAAAGCAAAGAACTGAAACCCTATAAATAACAAAGAGGTACTCAATGAAGGCCAAGGCTTCATTTGAAAGGGCACCTCTCCTGCTCATGGCCATCAGCCTGGGGGGCGGGGCAGGATGGGGAAGAAGAAACATTCTTTATGTGTGTTGAAAGTTATAAATACTGAAAATCGATTCTGCCCTGGGTAGGGGAAAGAGAGACACTACAGTGCAGAGAGTAGGCCAAGAGTCCCAGCACCAGTGAGAACCTGGCTGCTTCATCTTTTCAACCCCTCACATTTTGTACTAAAGAGATTCAGAAAGGAAGGAAGGCAGAGCCAAAGCATTAAGAAAGAATCCTTCTGAAAAGCATTCTTAGCTTTCCCCGTGCCATTCCACCCATTCAGCCCTAATGAGGGAACGCACGCTCTGGTTTCATTTTCATGACGACACGAACATGGCCTGTAATGTGCCCAAGTTCTATATACAACCATGGTCCTCAACAAGTCAACCTTCGATATCTCCTGAATGCCCTTGGCTTGTTCATGTCCTACCTGAAATTCTGTGGCCATGTTATTCTGGCAAGTTCCTAGCCTCGCCTTTTCCTAGGTGAAATCACAGAGTCCCTTTCAAAAGCCGGGGGAGGTGTTCTAAGTATCAGGTATACCACAGATGAAATCCTTCCTTCTGGAACGTTTTGTTTGTTTGACAACTCTCTTCTCTGTAAGCCCTGCAGGAGCAGCGACTCTATGCCTATCCTTTCCCGCTCACGGAACCCTCTGGGCCTCCTGTAGTGCCTAGCATAGGGCAGAAACTCAACAGGATTTGTGCAATGAGCCTCTGTGTGACTACAGGGAGACACCCCACCAACACCACCTCCTTTGTCCCTCTGCCTATATTTTGGCCCCTACCCTCCATCTACTACCCCGTTGACAAACTTGTGTGTGTTGAGCACATTTTGGCTTACAAAGCGCCCTTGCAAACAAATATTTGAAGGTGACTGATGTCGACCAAGATAGCACTCAACATGGGAATCGGGGAACACAGAGAAAATGCACACAGCAGGCAGGCCGGCCCCTCCACTTACCGCCACCTCCACAGACTGCATGGAGAGGTCGCATGGTGGCTTCAGGGCTTTGGGCCTCGTGGCGTACCAAAAGGTGGTGAGGGCTGCAAAAGCTCCAAAGCCCATGAGCGTGTTGGTCGGCAGCGTGCGAACGTACTGTCGGAAGTCAGCCAGCTCTGGCATTCGAAAATACCGGAACAGCTCGTGGGCTTGCATCGTCCCGTGTTGGTGGCTCCCTAAGCTGAATTCTGTCAAAAGAGAAAAATGTCACATTCCTCTCAGGAAGGCAAGACTTGTCTCCAGAATTCCCAAAGGCCAGCCATCCGGCTTGATGCCTGGCTGACCGATCAAGGCATTAAACCCACAGTCTAATGGTCCAGCTCTTTTCTTGGCTGTCAAATGTCATTTCTCTAAAAACCCTTTAGAAACTCATTTTACGTCTATCATTTTGTGTCGAGCTTCCATTCCCCACATTAAAAAGGTTTCACTCACGAAGACTTCTTGTCACAACATGCTCAAGTGGCGTAAGTTACCACCTTCTTCCCCAATACCTTCTCTGTTCTCTTCCACCTGATCAGATACACTCAACTCTCCTTATCACGGCTAATGAGAAGAAAGGGACAGAGGTACAAATAAGCCGGCACCACCTGACGGCCATCCGTGCCTGCTTCTTCCCACGCCTCTCAGAACTAGCTCCCAATGGGTAAAACACACCAACCTAAATTCCAATGTGCCTCTCACCTTCCCCGTACTCTGTACCACAAAAGCAGCAATACAAATGCAAGGCAACTGTAGTTCGCTCTTCTGATCAAATAATCTCTTTTATATTCCTTGCGATATTATAGCTAAAATATTATAATGATAAAAGGGTGCACATAAACTTTAAACCAACCACCAAATATCTAGAGAGAGATTGCAGCATAGTATCTGAGAAAAAGTACAGAATGGTACTTAAGATCCCAGATTCGAGAGCCAAATCCTATCTTCCCAGCTTATTAGCTGTAGGATTGGGGACACATTACTTCGCCGCCCTGAGCCTTGTTTCCCTCAGTATAAATGGAGGCTGAAAATAGTAGCAATCTCGCGGGGCTTTTATAATGACTAAATGATTTACACTGACAGCTCAGAATGGCATGGGGCACCAGAAACTGCTCAATACATTCTAGGTACTATCACTATTTCACCTACCAAGATTCTCTGATTAGTCCTGTGTGCAGAACAGGAAGGGACAGAGTTCATTAAAAACAGTGCTTGACCACAAAGAGTTTACAAACAAAATTAAGAAGCCAAAACACACAGAAGAAAACTAGATGAAAATCCTCACACTGGATGTTACAGACAACTTATATATACATCAATATAAAAAGTGTGCAGTACAGACAATAAATAAGAATAATTCTAACAAGAAAATTATTGATGAAGAAGTGCTTTAAAGCGCCTTTGGCAGTAAAGGGAAGGACATGATAGTAAATGCTCTGAAGGCTTTTCTCAAAAACTGCCTGCCAAGCCGCGAAGTGCTAACATTTTAGCTATCATTCAGAAGGTATTTGTGAGCTACTTATTACATGTTCTTTTAAATAGCTAGGTCACAAAGCTGAAGATAATTTTCTTTTTTCAAATACAGACATCTTTACATTTCAATCTATACTATGGTTCATTTTTTTTTAATGGAGTAGCAGAGGATCCGGTTTTCACTGGCCACCAATTCTGTAGTATATTTGCTCAGCTCAGACAGTCTAGTGCTACAACAGCTCTGTGTAGGTGCACGCGCGTGCGCGCGCACACACACACACACACACACACACACACACAGAGGAAATTTCCAGGTTTTACATAATAGTCGAGAAGGAAGAGATAAGCAAGACTTCTTCAGGTCATAATCATGGAGAGAGAGCTCCAGGACTTAAAAACCACTCACCATCTGTGCCACCCAGAGCTGACGGCTAGGTGACACGCCATGCAGCCATGCAGAACAGAAGAGGTGGCGAGGGTGGGGGTGGGAGGGGGGCTGGAGGAGCTCAGCTGCCGCTTACCCGACCTGCCAAGGTCTCTCAGGGCATTAGTCACATGCCGACTCCTGCACTGATGCCCACTGGGCTAAAGGTAACTAGCAGACAAAATTCATACTTGACTTCCCAGGAGGAGACAGGGTGGAGGATGGGCCAATGAGCAGCTGGAAGCAGAGTCACCCCACTGCTCCACCCATGGGCAGGGACAGGCATCTGCCAGTGCCAGATCTGAAAACAGACACTGTTTTCTTTCTGCTTGGCTTCCCAATAAGAAGAGACAATGGACAGAGTTTTTTAAAAACACCAGTGAAATACATGATCAGATGCTGGGTGGTTATGTCGGACCAACGTGAGACAGACCAAGGAAGAAACAGATTGTCCGTAGTATACTCCCAGCAGATTTATTCTAGATGAATGCATAGGAACTGAGCTACTCTGGTCAATGCCCAGCGCAGAGCACCCGGCGTGTGCCAGGCCCTGTGCCCAGCAGCCGGGAGGGTGGTGCTGATGACCCGGTGCAGGGTCTCCCTGGGCCAACTGGCTGGTGGGGAAGGCACAAAATGAAGCAAGAAGCGTTACCACCAGTGGGAGCCGGGAATGAGGCAAGGCCTCTGGGAGGAAGGCACGCGTACACTGAGACCAGGAGGATAAGCAGACAAATCGAGTCCGGCCCTTGTTGGCACTGAGTGGGCAGGTTTCATAAACAGCACTACCACCCTAAGACCGTGAAGCAAGCTGACGTGTACAATGTGCAAACCTGCCTTCCCCTCCAATCATCTCACCTTCCAGCGGTCCTCATACCCACGGCACCCCAAATCCGAAGAGGACTTTCCTACCCCCTCCCCCACACACACCTGCCCTTGTCTCTTCTCTCCCACAGGTCCCTGAGGTGATTTCCATAAAACCTTAGATCGCGTGAATTCGCAGGGGCTGCTCAACAGAATCCCATTTCTGTGTGAGAATACGAAATAATTCCCCCGTGAACAAATGCACTCAGAAGCTGGTGATTTTTTTTTTTTTCTATTTTAGGCACCAGCAGTAGCCAAGCTGTAGACAGCATTAGACTAAGAAAGCAAGAAAAAAAAAAGTCTATTTCTAGAGATAAGAAATAAACTAAGAGACTAAAAAACTAAGAAAGAAAACCTGGGAAAAAACAAAAACTTCAGAAAATGACTGATTTAGTAGCACCCATGCAAGAATATTTAATCTGACATGAGTCTGTAATGCTAAGGGTTTAAATCCAGCTAGATTCTTATTTTTAGTGGGTAATGACAAGGTATAGCAGTTTAATTCATGCCTCTCAGTGGGTGATAGGCTGCAAACCAGCTTCACTGAACCCACCGGTTAATGCTGTGCATTGGAAAACTATAGTCCATCCAATAAAGAACTAAAGAGAATCCTTCTTTTAGATCCACGTGAAGAACAACTCATCAACGTGAATGGAAAGCATTATAAACCTTCTCCCGTCTATGGAACTGCTATTAAGGAAAAAGTACTTGGGGTATTTTGAAATGGAGGCAGACCCACATTCAAAGAAAACTGGCCACAGTAAATAGCCTTTCAAGGCTGCAGGTGAATATAAACACCACGCTTTAAGACAGTCCCCCAACAGGTCTCAAAGAAGAAGAATCAAGACTCATATGTGCCAACAAATGATTAAAAGCCAGACTGACTTTATTCTTATTCCAATGGTGTTCCCGTTGGAATATTTTTAAGATTCTTTCAAAAGCAAACTTCCACACATCCTCTCTGGATGTTTGCAGGCCAGGCAAATAACAATGCTACTGTTGGCTAAGAATATGATTCAATCGGCTTAAAGGCTTAAGCAGTCAGTATTTCTTGGTCAAGAACGCACAAGCCTATGGGCAGCTAGCTTCTCCTTCCCCGGCAGCTACTCCTCCATCTCCTTCCTCCCCACACCTATGAAAAGTGGGTTTGCTCACTCGGGTCCTGGAGTCTAAAACCACAGAACGACAGAGGACATAACAGTGGTCAGGAAAGCATGGTGCATGTCCGGGGCAAAGAACCAGAGGGAGGGATGTCTGGGCAGAAATAGCCATATGGGGCCAAGTAATAGAAACTGGATCGCATGACTCTCAGAAAACAGAAATCCTGGTACTTAGCCACCCACACTTTGGGAAGCATAGCTAGCAGCCCAACAAACGCTGATTTAGTGTTTCAGGAAGGCTTTCACATCCTGTATTGCACTGTCTCGCAGTACGAAATGATCCTAAGGAAGCTGAGGCTGGAGATTTAAGAGGCTTCCCCGAGGTATGTCCCAAGATGGGGAGACCTGACTCTCAAGTCACGCTTTTTCCTCTAGGCAAACAATTCCTAACTTCTGCGGAGCCTCTGATCCTCTGCACCTGGAACACGTGGGTACTCGTTTGCATGGGGGGCTCGCAAGTCCCCTGCAGCCCACCCCGGCTCAGAAATGGTGAGGGCAGTTGCTCTCTAAAGGTCCTTCTGGCACTCACATTTCACGGCATGATGAGAGCTTAGCATCTGAACTCCATGTGAATGCTCCATGTCTTACATAAGCGCTCGCGTTTGCCCCATTGTCCTGGAGTCTGAACATACGGGTCCAAGGCCACCCGGACAGAAACAAAGGTTCACCTCTTACCATTTTGTTTATACCAGGAAAAAGTGGTGTGGGGCAAAGGTGACTCACAAGGGCATCATTCTCTAAGGACACAGGGACATGAGCACGCGCGCGTGCGCACACACACACACACACACACACACACAGCTCCTGTGATTCCATAGATTTATACTTACATCAGCATTTTATTTTCTTCCTATCATTTACAAACCAATAAAAAAATGGGTGATCTGGACGTGTCTCCCCTTCTAAAGTTCCTCAAGCTTTCGTTCAGCTGAATAATAGCAGTCTGATGGAATACTTCACTAAGAATGCTGCCTCCAAGAAAACCCACATAAATAGCACCCTTGCCCCGGCAGCCGCAGATGAAGAAATCCTGACAACTCTCCTTAAAAGCAGCAAGCCAAACTGGCAAGATGCTGCCTCCCTCCTTGCTCCACCTCCTCTGCTTATACAATAGGCTATTTACAGAAGGCTGAAACTCCCTCTTTGTCCCGCGCCAGCTGGGCAAAGCTCGGCCTCAGGGAGGAACAAGGGAGCGGGTGGCCAGACCGTGCGCTGTTCTTTCAGTGTGCCACTCCAGAACCGCTGGTCTTGTGCTCCTTAACCCTGGCTGGCAAATCACCTAAAGCTAGAT